TTAAAATGTGTGTGGTTCTGTTGCCATCTCCAGCACTGTCCCAGGCTCTCAATCACCAGAGAAAGTCTTGACAGCAGTGAAAAGCAATGTCTTTTCCCCAGTCACAGCTTCAGGGATGAAACAGTTGTTTTGGCTGTAGATTAAGAATAACTCACAAGGGGCTAATACCTGTCATGAAGATTATTAACCAGAATTCATAGAAGTTGGACAATAAATAAGCCAAAATGTCTAATTGACTGTAATCAATGGTTTAATAACAGAAAGGACTCTTTACTGCAGTCTATCCTCTGTACAATATTTCGATGCAGAACTAGTAGAGCCTGCAGTGAGGATGTGGTTTTCTGACTTCCGAGCAGGAAGCCAGGTCATGGCTGAGATAATTAAGGGAAACCTCTGAATGAGGCAGTAGCTAAAGGGCAGGGGTCTTTACCTTACTTATTATGACTATCTTTACTGGTAGAGGAAAAGACTGAACCCCAGGTTTTGCCACAGAACATTCACTGGTTGATGTTTAAATAGGATGCAGAGTGTAATGCATCTTTGAAAGCCAGTTGGAAATTGCATCTACCACCTCCTACTAGGGGAATCTTTGTTTGCCTTCAAGGCTATCTCTACTTAGGTGGAATGGAAAGTGTACTGTTCAAAATGGTCATCAAATGAAAGACCTTACTGTTGTATCTCAGTCAATCAGAAATCTGTTTCCTGGAGGAAAAGTATGTTTTCTTCTGATATAACTTTACTATAAAGGAACTAGGAGCATTGCCAATATAATAAAGACTAGAAAGCTATAATTAGAATGAATACGTGTCAAAGATGCATCTACATATATAAAAGACAAACAAAAGTATTTTTGTGTCCCAAATACAATGCAAGTGGGCTTGTGGGTGCTACTGGTCATCATAGCAACACCTTTTTTGGATGAAAAGACTTATGAGTCATGTATTTCTCAATCAGAAAGCATGAAGATTGCATTTCTTTGAGGTCTGGGAAGACAAAAAAAGTAGAAATGAGGAAAGTAAACAGGCAATCACCAAAACCTATAGACTTAAGAAGGAAGTTAGGCCACTGTTGCTGAATATTACCAGCAAATCAGCCACCTGGGGTTTTTAAATGATATGTGAGGATCATGAGCCATGGAATTTGCAAGCATTGCATGAGGAAGAACATGCCTGATACCTCCCAGCCCCAGATCTGAGGTTATACACTGTGTGCACACAGACTGGCCAAGACATGTTCAAATATTCTACAGATGGAAGTAGGCTCAGGTCAGACAAAACTTCCAGAAGACTTGAACCTAATCCAGAGGCCAAAGTATCACAATAAGTCAGTTAAAAAGTAAAATTATTGAAAAAATATGATGGGAGGTAAAAAGAAATAGTGTAACAAGGAAGAAAGTAATTAAAAAGTATTTAGAATCCTAATTTAAGGAGCAAAACCAAAAAAAGTAGACAACATTTTGGTTTATATTTCCAAGCTCTTTAACTTTTCTGGGATGGCAGAACCCCTCACATATTTGCACTATCGTGTATGGAGAGAAAACTTCCCTTCCTTGTCTACATTCTGGCTTCCCACTAACAAAAACTACCAAAAGTGATTTATTTCCTGTGTAAGCCAACTTTTTCTCTTTTCTTTATGACAATCTTTTGTAGATTTTTGAGGACAGGACCATATTTGGGCCCATCTATGTTTGTCATTTGTCTCAAAGTTTCAACATTACAGGCCCTATGTTCACCTAATAATATCAGATTTAGCATGATAAAACCCAAATGATCCCATCTGCCTTTGTGCTCTACTATCACCATCCCTTTTTTGGCCCCCATGGCTGCCTGAGACAAGGAAATGTTCAGGCCTTCTATTTGATCTTTTACTTCAGCCTTATGTCAGTCTTGAGGAAAAATGTTTTATTAGTATAATGCAATCTGTCCTGAACTAACTTGCAAGTGCAAGAGCTTTTGATGATAGCACTGAATTTGCTCAGTGGTGGCAAGGCGATGCAGCTGTGGCTGTCAATGTATGAAAAAGTAACTGAAATTTGTATAAATTATTTTTTGAAATCCCACACAGTCTACATACATGCAAAGACATGAGAACACACTCCAAAACTGACTTTGCCTTAAGGTGAAAAATTTCCTGACTAGGCTCAAATATATAGAAATTGTTCTGAAGAACTAAAATTTTGATACAGGCCATAAATATATAGTCTTGAAAAACCCAAAATGTTTCCACAAACAGCTGAAAATTTGGCTAAAAAGTCTAAGAAGGACTGAAATGAGCTGTTAATTAATGTGTAAATTAAATAAACTGTGATTCCTCTGTCAGCTATGGTGTTAATCTGAAACTTATTTCCTCTTTTTTTTTGGTTGATCATTGCTCAGAGTACCCCCACAGAACTGTTGCATATGATTTCCAGTTCACAAATCAAGTTTTGCAGACTTTCTACTTCTGCATCATCAGTTTTTCTTGAATTATTCCGTTCCTTCAGTTAATGGCTACCAGCATGCTGTACGTACAAGGGTATTGTGTTATAGCTTCATCTACTTCCTTCCATGTCCTAGTCATTTTTAATTTTAGATTTTGCTAAATGCTTTTCTAAATTTGTGTTGATGCCTGGTAAACAAGCTGTGAAGGATCAGTCACCATTAACACAATCTGTCTATCCTGCACCAGAGAGCCCTTGAAGGGAGTTTCCAGTGTCACACTGCAGGGTGTCTTGGCTTTTTGGAATGCTACAAAGCAAACTGTAAACAGTCTTAGCTATGCCAGCACAAGCAACAGCTTTGGTACCATTTTTGTCTGAATCTGCTTCACAAAGATTCAGTGAATGACAGTTGTTTAGGAATAGTAGGCGCTGTTTACCATCTTGCTCTAACACACTGTAGCCTCCCTAAAAAAACTTATATACCAAATTAGTTGTATTAATCATTTTATTCTGGTTTTCAGCCTTATGATAAGGATCATTAAAACAAAAATCAAGTTTTTTTAACTCTTGTCTTTTCATTTCAATTTCAATGGTTCTGAGAACGCTCCTCAGCAGTGTACCTTTTCTAGATACAATAGATTCATCATCACCCTCAAAGGCAACAAGCCTGTCTGATTTGCTTTCAAGTAAATATGGTATAACATATTTCTGGTGAATTCTGTCTTGGCACACTTTCAGTTCAGGAGCTGACACTGATGACTCAACCTCACAGTCACTTCTTGGTTTCACAGATAATCATCTTAACCCTCTTCAAGGAAATTGTGTGAACATCAGCATATCTGTTTTGTATTGTTCTCCATCACTGCACACAGTATGTCTCTGTTGCATGACTGTCAAGGATCAGGTGAGTCACTTTTCTGAAGAAATACTTCTTTCTCCAGATTTTTTCATCAGCCTAAGGCCTACATGGAACTCCCTAAATAAAATTGCCATAGTCATAAGAGAACCATATAACCCAAGGAAGGGAACTGGTTTCTTCACACATATTTTATATGGGACAACATGGGAATGTGACCATCCTATTTCTTCATCACCACCTGAACAGGATGATTCAATAACTGAAATCTGTTTTTTTTACATGCCATGTTTAAATACATAATGCACATACGTTACCTGAAGGACCCAGAACTGCTTCACGTCTTTTGGGTCTCTACATATTTGAGCTTCAGCTCCACTCCTTCTCCATTTTGTGGTGGAGTCCTATATATCACCCTTTCCCTGAGCTTTGATTATCTGGATAGGGAAGATGGGTATTCAGGCAGCAGAAGTGTTTTGATACAATCCAGTCAAATTCTCAGTCTAGATGATCATACAAGTTCAGTTCGTGAATGATCAAGATGTGCAGTCACCCATTATCTGTACAGCTTAAACAGAGGCTGTTTGCCTTTCCTCGTAGTTCTCAAATATGTCCCAACTCAGATATTAAAAATGTAGTGGCAAAAGTGCAATATAAGCTCTCCTGCCTTCCACAAGTTCAAAACTTAACAAATGACTGTAGAATTCATGCTGCACTTTTTCTTTTTTCCCCCCCGCCTCTTTGTCTAGTATACTTGTCACCACAACTCATTGTCTTACAGGTTGTAAGGGATTTTACTTGATTCAGAGAAGTATACCAATGGCAAAGCTGAGCTGGGAGCATTCTGCCCTCTATCCTCTGTTCTAACTGTGTAATATATATAAAGTGTGAAATTATGAAGCATGAGAAGCTTCAGAGAATTAGCAGAATGCATTTTTGGAAGAGTGAACTCCTTTCCTTCCACTATGTGTGTATTTGGCTAACAATAATTTTAACTACAGAACAGTGAACACTAAACTTGTGCTCATATTTTATTGTTTGCATTTCAGTTGCATAGGTTTTATGGTACTATTATTCAACATATTCAACTAATAGAAGTTTCAGATGCATAACCTACCTGTGATTTTGCTTTAAATTAAATCTAGTAACTCAATTTTTTTTCCTCTCATCTCATTTTTCATTAAATTCATACAATTCTTTAAAATTTAATAATGTAAGCTTTTTGCAACCATTTGAGAATTGGGGTTATGCTGTTAAAATACTATGCAAATAATTCATATGATCAGACTAATATATAACCTTAGTGTTATAGGCACTTTTAAAATTTTGAGATTGCAATTCAGCTACCAGAAATCCATAACCAATTGTCTTCACATGGTTCTGGGTGACTGCTCCTTATATAATGAATTACTCAGGAAATCTCTTGTTCTCGGAATACATTATAGTATACAAAATAAATTAAGTTTTTCCTGAAAACTTTATTACCACATTTTCTGCTAGAATGTGAAGGCTAGGTTATGTTTGTAATACTGTATGTGTTGTCTACATTGCAGGGAGAGGGCTCAATAGCTCAGTTATATGTGAAATATCTTCCTGAAAGATACGGAAATATGTGGAATTCATCTCATTGATATAGGAGCTAACCCATCACTCTTGAGCAGAGCTGCACCCAGTGATAATGGGACCATTGTTATCAGATAAAGATTTACCCTGAGGCCAATATGCTGCCTTTGCTTTTCAGGAACCATTTATTGATTTCAGAGGATATTTTCTGAAATATCTGATAGTCTTGTACAGTTTCTTCTTTAAAGTACAATTGACACCTTGTTGGTATTGTGCAAACCGATTGTCTTGTGAAAAAAAATAAGCACAGTACATTCAGTTTTGTCTGTTAGCTTCCATATGAAATTATATCGTGTGCTATTTAAAATACTCTTACATTTTGCCCATATACACATTATAAACAGACAGAAAGCACCCATGGGATGACCCTGCTTTTTAAATACTTGTCTAAATAGATATGCATGCAGCTGTTGTCACGTGTGCTGTGATAACCGGCCCATCTTGACTGAGTAAGACTAAGGAGCAGGAAAGACTAAAAGAGAGGGCGAAAAAAGAAGAGTGGGCTGAGTTGTGGGTGTGAAGATGAGGGAAGTGTCATGGGCTGGCCAGGTAACACTGCTTTCTGAGTGAGTCAGGAGCTCTCTGAAGAACCACTTGAAACTGGGAAATCTTTTGATAAAATGGCAGCCACATCGCTGTGACAGCATTCACACAACCGAACTGTGACAGGTCTGTTGGCCAATTGCCCCAAATTTACAGTTATTACAGAATATTGGTGGCTTAGGGACTGAGGACAGATTTTAAGCTCCATCCTTTAAAGAAAGTAGATTCCAGACTCATATAGTAATAATTGGTGCCTTGGTTCACCCTTGAAAGTCTTTGCTGTAACATGTCTGCCTCCTTTCCTTCTGTAAAACAAAAACAGCAGTTATTTGATCAGGTTATTCTGAAGATTGCCTAATGCCTTGAAGGTTCTAAAAATCTCATAAACAAGAAGCAACCCTGCATGACAAGTGATAGAGAGTGCACCCACATTTTTTACCTGTAACTTATTGTTTACAAGTCTGACAATCATAGGGTTTTCTGAAATGCTTGCTGCCGTGGATTAACCCTGTAGGCAGCCAAACACCACACAGCTTCTATCTCTTTCCCTCTGCAGTGGGATGAGAGACAATAGCAAGGGAAAATGTGAGAAAACTCATAGGTTGTGTTAAGAGGTTTTAATACTCAAAAGAGGAAAAGACAAAACAAAACAGAAAGCAACAAGGGGCACAAAAATCAGTTGCTCACCACTGGTAGAGAAGCACCCATCCTGAGCAACAGTAACCTGGCAGAACTCCTCCTCATCCTAGGAGCTAAAATAAAGAAAATTATCTCTACTGCAGCCAAAGCTAGTATGCTCATCCAAAAAGAATCAAATCCCACAAACTTGTATGGTTATCTGAATACAAATCCATGCAGTATTTACAAATAAATATCATGAATTTTCACTTAAAGTTGACTATACAGATTAATTTATAATTAAATTATTATTTTAAAAATGTTTGCATGATAAAGTGTAGGCTTCTAAACATGAATTAGGTTTTTAATGAAAACAATCATTAGGTAATTAGGAAAATTTTGCTTTGGCTAAAGGATGCACCACAAATGTTGGCATAAATAATATATTTGGAAGATTTTAAATGCATTTCTGAGTGAAAAGAGAAAAAGAAAAGGAAAAAAAAAAAAAGAAAAGGGCTGGAATCACAGTCCCCAAATAAACACAGAAAACTTCAGAAAAATATGCTAACATTGGGGCAGAGAGTATTAACTCATGCAAATTTTGATAAATGTAAAATAATGTTTAGTGGAAGGTATTTTTTACCTTATTTGCATTGACTGATGGGTTCTCAAATATCCTGAAAGAGATGGTGAAGCTTAATGGCAATTACACCTTATACATGCAAAGGAATAGAGGTCAAAGAGATGAGACAAAAGAAAGTATCAGAAGATGCTTTAACAGCAATAGCAAATAATGTCTCCTGACTTGTACCACTGGCAAAAATCTGGCCTTAAAAATGAAGAGTCAAGAACTTCTATTGAGTTTAATGGTACCAGAAGCTTGGCCACTGTGTTATGTTTCTAGAAGAAATAAATAGTATTCAAAGACAGGTGATGAAAATGCTTACAGACTGCAGGCAATTTCTAGGTGACTGAAGAAATCAAGATGATTTGATCTGCTTAATTAAAAAAAAAAAAAAGGAAACTGCCTAAAAACCTCCCAAACAAACACATCAGAGGAAATATATTTGATTCAGCTAAAACAAAAAATATTTTGTCAGAAGGTCAATAAGAAGCTTCTATTCATCCTCTCACAATGCAAGAACAAAAAGTTCTGATGAACTAGAAAAGCAATATACTTTTGCACAGTTGGCAATTAACCTGTGGAACTGGCTGTCATGAAACATCAGTGCACTCAAGAGTTTAAGAGCCTTTGAAAAAGAGATGATATTTTATCTGAGTAATGAGAACGTCCACAGTTATTTTGGTAAAAAAAAATATTAATTTGAACAGGATTCTAACTTTCGGCATATTAACCAATTTTCATCCAAGGGATAGAAATAATTTTTGTCTGGAAAGATCTTTCAAAGAGTCTCTGTGCATTTCACAGATAATTTTGTAGTGCTCACAGCCACAGTCAGACACTGTGACTACAACTGTGCAGTTTCATAGTGACTAGATGATACTGGCAGTATCTTGCACTCATTGTACACAGAGATCAAGGATTTCCACACTGTGTAACAGTATATACTCCTTATTTATTATTATTATTGTAAAGCACACAGATCCCTTCTGAAAGACTTACCAGGCTCTACTTTGCTACTGGTTTTAACTTTCTAATATTTTATGGATTTCAGAATTTAATTAGACATGTAAATGGTAGAATTAGTCTCCAAAAGCTAGAAGGCTCTATTTCAGAGTCTAAATATATGCAAGATTTTGGTCTCAGTCTTGCTTCCTGCTTACTACAAGAAAAATAATATTTCATTTTTTCTTATCAGTACAATTCACTATTTTACCTATTGTGTCTCTTCTATTCTTTGACATGACTTTCTCCTGTGACTATTCTTACTCTAAACTTTTTGTCATTGAACACAATGGAAGCTTTATTCAGTCCACTCACTCTTTCCATGGTATTTCATTGTCTGGTTGTTTTGTGAGGAATGGTAAATGTGAGAAACTATTCATTAAAATAATCCTTTCAGTTGCTACATGCTTCAGTTCTACTGATATGCACACACACACAAATAGAGACATGCATTGTATTGCAGTTATCAAGCTAAAAAAAAAACCCATTTCATAAATGTCCTCGATCCCTACATAGAGGTGTTAAGTTTTCACAATTTTTTTCTTAGTGAAGCTAAGGGTAGGCAGGAGAAGTGAGCAAGGGGACAAAAGAGAATTTTCTACAAATTTCAATATTTTCCTATTGAGCAGAAAAAAAATGGTTTCAGAAGTCATTTCAGAAGGTGAAAGGCTCAAATGACCAGCCAAAATTACTGATGTCACACTGCTTTTCCTTATTGAAACTAAATTCTTGACCCTTAGCCTGTCATTTTGCAAGTAACTGACTCAACTGTAACCTTTTGAACTGTTCTGGAAATGGCTGTCTAACAGTTTAATCCAGTAAAATAATTTGAATAGATAACTAGCTAACAGAATGGAGCTAAGCCCATAAGTGGGGTTAGGATACTAGCCTGTTGCACAGGATGACTGGAGGCTTCTGACTGTGATTCCAGCTTTGCATTTTTCTCTGGTTTCTTGATTACTCTGTACTTGGGAAAAAAGATGCTGAGGTCTTTAAAGCACATGTGTTGAGCTGTTGCTCTGATTTACCCTTTTTAAAAGTCCATTTCTAATGACATTTTATGGAAAGCAGACTCCTAAGACTAAATTACTATCTTTGTTGCTGTTTCTTAACATCATATCCATTTTAAATCTAAATGAGGGTATCTGAGTATTTGATGAAATTATCATTGAAATGGCATGTTCCTTAACCCCATTAAATATGCATTTGCAGATAAAAATATTCCATTGGAAAACTTCCAAATTACTTTTATTGTCAATACATCCTGTTTTCTCTTAGAACACCTAAAATAACGACACATTGCACTCTGTATTTTGCACTATCAAGTGCTCTATACCAGTGTTCATGACCCAATATTTTCATGTATTTTTATTTGTAGTATAGGCATTTTAATAGCTATTATATAGAATAACCTTCAAATACAATATCCAGATTGAATATACTATGGTAGAATTCTGCAAGAAATTTTATTGCATTTATGGTTCTAATACAATTAGGATGTAACCAGTTGATTGAAAAAAACTGAATATGTGTTCATGCGAGTGATTGTTGAGGACTCAAACTCATACCATGACCAGGCAGATGTGTGTAATGTGGAAACTAGAGAGTTGCACAGAGGCCTGAGCTGTCTGTGGCATAACACCTCCCCTGTGTAGGATTTTCTCAATGTTCAGTTACATTTTGGACAGTAAGGATAGGATAAGGTGATGGCAGAAATGCCTCTTTCAGTAAGAGTTAGCTTCCTATTTTACAGTCTTTTGACTATTATCTTACTTAACACAAAATTCCACTGGTTTGCAGGAGTTAGGTGCTACTGAACATGAATAAAGCAGTAAGATTGTGTCTGCTGTGAATTTTGAAAAAAAAAAAAAATCTACGCTTGGCCATTTACTTTAGAAAAAATCTAAGTCCTTATGGTCATATGTAAAATTAATATCACATAATTGGTCAAAAGCATCCTTCTTTAGCTTATCATCAAACCACCTATCATGTAAACCCAACTGGATATGGGAAGATGGACAGAGAATCTCCCCATCCCTGCTGCTGCCTTTATGGATAGTCTCTCTAAAACAAGCTCCCTGGGGTGCTCCATTAGCTTAAAACATACTGCGTGGCTCCTTTTTTTCCTGTTGCTGCTTTTCTTTTGTTTTCCAGCCAAAAATGTTCAAAAGCTTTTAAAAAACAACGAGGTCAGAAGAGATTGTCTGAATTTAAAGAGAATAAAAGTCAACAGAGAGCTTCCTGTACACATGATTTCTTTCTTTCTCTATTTCTTGCATTAAGCCAATTACTTAATGGACAGAAGTTATTTTAAAATCCTTCAGAGTGTGAGGCAGATTACAGAAAAATCTCCCTATGCAACAGAAAACAATGTATAAATAATAAGAACCTAATAATTTCCTTTAATGAAAAACTGCTCACAAGGGAGGAAAGATACGCATGAATATGCACTAAAATAAAGTCATCCTACTTACATGCTCATATCCCCATGAAGCATGCTCTTCAAGCACCATTCTGAAGCTCAAATGCTGCTATGCCTCATGATCCAAGACATATGTAGGGAGAAGACAGTGCTGCACTTGTGTCAGCTCATTTTGGCAGCTCTCCTGACTACAGAAAACAAGAGGAAACTTTATTGTGCTATTGCTGTTTTGATGAATTCTACAGAAAACAGACATTTCTCCGAACATCAACCCCTTAAAAATAAAAACAACAAAAAACACGAACAAACAAACCAAACCCCACAAAAAAAAACCCAAAAAAACATACAAACCAGAAAAAAAGCAATGCAAGCAAACACCAAACAACAAATCAACCAAAACCCAAATAAAGAAAACCTAAAACAGCTGAGGAAGACTACAAGAGTTTAAAGTCTCCTAATATTAACCCTATTGTAGCACTTCACAGTTAAGGCAGCTTACTGCTAATCAGCTGGGGTTTGAAAATTCCAGTTTTAAGGTCTCCATATCAGATGGGGTAGATCTATACGTTCAGAGGCTCTTCCCTGTGCAGTATTAATAATCAATTTCTGGTTGTAGAGAAGCAGGAATAGAAATGACACAAAAACTTTACATGCTTACACAATAGCACTATTATCTACCTATCTTCCAGCTTCTAAACAGAGTAATAATTCCTACAGATATGAAAAACCATTTAAGGAAATATATTCCAATGCTAGCAATCAGAAGGGACAGAAAGCTTGGAAGGACATGATAGAAGTTAGCTGGCAACACTTATTTCTGGCCAGAAAATCTGGATGCCAGTTTCAGAAGTCATTTAGCAGTTTGAATTATTTCCTAAACGAGTATGAGAGGGCAAAGAGTTACCACTATGGAAAAACACTGATCTAAACCCTCACAAATACTCAGAAAGAAGCACCTGACCACCTCTCTTCCCTGTACAGTCAAATCATGTCTTCAATTCATGTCAATTGGATTTCACCAACAGCTCCTGTCATTTTGCTTTATGCTTTCTTAGTGTTCAACAGAAGCAGCTATTTTGTTGGAAGTTGTGTGCTTTTCCCTAGCACCTTGTTGAGCTGCAGCTCCTTCCAGCACAGAATGGGCAGATATTTTCCAAAGTCATTTTATGCAGATCTTTCAAAGTCTGTCCACATTTTGGTCTATGAAGTGAATTCTTGACAGAAATACCTTCTCAACAATGATATTTTGAACCATTCCAACCTCTTTCAGGAACTGCATCAATGGATTCACCTTAGCAGTATAAAAAGCATGGCTAGTGAGCCATGGAGTGAAACTAGGGCATTTTGGTTTTAATGTCTTTAAGCACATTTCAGAATATATTGGTTGAAACAATTTATCTTTTTAGTACTAAAGAAATTGAAGATGGCAGGTGGGGTCGAGGGGGTGGAGGAGACAAAACTGGTATCTGTAAGGTGAAAGAAGGTGATGTTCTTCAAAAGCATGTTGTCCACAAAGGAGTGAAGGTGTGTGGGAGCTGCGGTTTACACTTTAAAAATGTTAAGTATCTGGTTGTCTCGAGTCCTTTCAAACAAATAAGGGAGCTCCCACTCACGTCAGCAAGTTTTTACTGTCTGCCTTTGGTATTTTTAAAATGTATAATTATTTAGTGCTGAAGATCTAAAGGAAGTAATATTTGACTCAAAACCTTTTTCATTAGGCTATTTTGGGACTATTAAATGAGCATTTGGGCTGACAAATATTAGTTTCTGTTTTGTATCATCACACCCAGTTATGCAGTGAAATTAATTTTATGTTCAAAGGACTATTGAACACACCAGTCCACCAGTGTATTTACTTTGCACAGAATGTCCGGAGGTGATTTTCTATCAATTTGTGCTATATAAGTATATAGCACTCACTACCACCCTCTTTTAAGAATGTGAATACAGTACCTAATAATGAAGTTTGCAACTCTCAGAAATTACTCTTTGTGGAAGATGGGAAAAACACCCACACCTAATTAACTAATGTGCTATTTTGTTCCCTAAATTCTTCCTTTAATGGGTAGTGTGCATTTATGTAATAGAGTGAAAGCTGCCATAAGGTTTAGTACATTTCACTTGTACACCCTCTGTGAATTTATCACATGATAAATAATATTTTTCCAATCTGAACACAGCTGTAGGAATCCCCTCAGCTGTCACTGTTGCCCAAAACACTGTTTAGCCTATTTTCCCTACAGCTAGACTAGTCCCTTGTGTTATTCTCATGTCTGATTGATTTTCTAGCAGACATCCCACTTTTTGGATCATATTTCCTATTTGCTCATTTGATCATGTACAGTGTATATAACATACTGTATTTGGTTGAGAAAACTTTTTTGCTATTAGAAAAATCACAATTTGTTATATCACAGTCTCTAAAATGTATTGATTAAATAGTCATCTAAACCTATATTTGCAATACATATCGTGAACATTTACGGAGCTTAGATAAGAAAGCTGTCTTTTTTTTTTTTTTGTACTGCATCTACTTTACAGAATGATATTAAGCTAAACAGAAACTCAAAGACACCCCTAACATATTTAATTGTTATTTGATTCTCTTGAAGCATCCTCATATAAGATTAATTTAGAAGATGTCTTCACAGCCCTTTTAGATAGCTCTAAAAAACAGCTAAACAGCTGTTTTTACTAAAGAACTAAGGAAAATGCAATGTCACTCAGAAACTCGGGTGCCTTGTAAAGGCCTTTTTGCCTGAGTACTACTTTGGCTATGAGAACTGGGGTAGAGAGATAGAGACAGTCAGAGAAGAAAGCCTTTTTCATGGGTCATTTCTTTTACCATCAACACCTGCTTGGTGGATTCTGGTTCTCTCCCCAGTTTCTGCTGCTTTTTCCTACTCCCAGATGCCTCCTCTGTTCATTGAAACATAGAATCACTTGGGTTGGAAAAGACCTGTAAGATGATAGAGCCCAAGTATTAACCTAACACTGCCAGGTCCACCACTAAACCATGTCCCTAAGTGCCACATCTACGTGTCTTTTAAATACCTCTGGGGACAGTGACTCAACACTTTACCTGGGAAGCCTGTTACAATGCCTAAAAATCCTTTTGGGGAAGAAATTTTTACTTCTATGCAATCTAAATCCCCCCTGGAGCAACTTGAAGCCTTTTCCTTTTGTCCTATTGCTTGTATTTGGGAGAAGACACAGACCCCCGTCTCAAGAGTTTCCACAGTGAACCAGAGCAGGGAACTGTTAAAATTAACAGGTTGTTTTTGACCTTTTTCACTAGTGATCATCTCTCATTGTGGTGTCCCAGCTATGGTTCCCTTACAGAGGGTGCAGTGCAGGATGGACAGTGCAGGAGGACAAACATGGACAGAAAGAGATTAAGCTGATGCTGATGCTGCTGAAGCCTGTGGAAGTTTGGCCTGACCCAGCCCCAATGTAGATGGTGTCATAGCACTGAATTTCCAACAAAAAGGTGGTATTAGCCAAAAGAAGCCTGAATAGAAACTCTTGGAGAAGGAGTTTTTCTTTGTCAATAGAGTCATGTCTTCAGTAATTTTGCAAAGGAGATCTGCATTAGGGATATTTCCTCTGCTATTGGTTTCTGATGATTTTAATAAATAAAACCACAAATCAGTGAAAATGGTTGAAATAAGTACAAAAGTGAGAAGCCTGAAACATCACTTTGTCCATTCTTTTGCATTTCTTCATAAAGTAACATGAATCAAAAAACAAGATCAGCAAATTATGCAATTGAAAACAGTGCTCCTTATCCATCTTGCTTAGTAGGTCAGGACACCATCACACTTGTTTATGAGAAATCTACCAGTAGATTCATTTAATTATACAGCATATTGGGTAGTTCTTTTGGTCAATCTTTAGATATTACAATTTCCAGTTGTCCAACTGATGTAATACGTGACAACTGGTAGTGGTAAGAGTGTGTTTATGTAATAAAGCTGAATGCTTTGCTAGGTAGTTTCTCCTTTGAGAACTCTTACTTCCTTCAAAACCCAAGAGCTGTATTTCAGGCATTAGACACACAAAGACATTACTGCAGCTGGGCACAGGGCTGTGCAGCAGCAGAGTGCTGTTAACTGTTAAATCAGTTTTAACAAAAAAACAAATGCAAACTGATGTAACACATCTTTGCACTCCCCTATTATCTGCAAAATAATGATACAATCATTTCTCATGCCCTACCAAGAACTGGATCCTGGCTTCAATGGAAATCTGAAACCTCTGCATTGATTTTTTCATTATTCTTGCTGGTAACCCCTTCCTCTTCTGTCAAAATATTGCTTGATTCTTTTTCTTTTACACAGCTGTTACATCTATCATACATCTTAAACAAAGGCATGCTCTTGTTCTATAAACAGTGAAGCACATACTTAACTTTAAGTTTGCAAGCTGGCCACAGAATTCAAAGTTGTTTCAGTTTAAGAACCCACATAACGATCCCAAGGATTGGGTCCATAACCATGTAAAGATAAATATCAGAAACACAAATGAAAATACTTGAGCATATGCACAGCTTACTGTGGCATTACTAAGTCATTAGGGGTGATTGCTTGTGCCAGGAACCTAATATAAACATTAGATGATTTTGCATCTCCCTGATTGATCATACATTTGTTAGAGATGATGAGATGAATTTCATATTTCTGCACAGCCTAAAAAAAAACTAATAAAATGGAATAGAGAGCTATGAAACAGAGAAGACCTTCTTCCAAATCCTGAAGGTCATTTCCTCATGAATACAAAAATACACCATCTCCTGGTAAAAAGTACAAATATATTCTTTAGCATAATGCTCTGTATTTATATTTTAAACAATTTAATGAAATATTAAACAGATTCAGTCTGAGATCCTGTTATTAAGCTATAGGAAAGGTCATGACAGTAGAAAGACTGCAATAGCTACTCTGAACAAAGTATCTTGTTATTCAATAATAACATGAAGTTTGAACCTAGAGCTGATATGCAGTAACTAAAAATCATAAAATCATAACTTTCTTCTTTCTTATTTTCTGCAGGCAATGTTTTTCTCAGTGGGGGAATGTGTGTGTGGGGGTGTTTTTTCTTTAAAATATTATTTTCTCTAACTCATTTCTTTCTTATCTTTACCTTTATTCTTCTTTTCTAGCCCCTGGATTTTCCACTGCATTC